ATTTTCTTTCATAGAATGCACAGTTGTATAACATGATCTTAAATACACACACGTATATATGGGTATATCATTATTAAGATTACAATAGAAACTAATATTTTTACTTAATCTTTCGTAATTTTTTATAAGAAAAATAAGTGACTGGGGCATCATAATTTGATTCCATCGCCTAAATTAGAAAAAGGAAGCGGGACTTGCAAGTTGGCGCGTATTTATGGTACCCAATTATCACTCTGGCATTGATCCAGTGCAATTTTGGAACAAAACATGGCTTATTCTTTTCTAACCGTATGGTATTTTTAAGTAACCTTCCCTCTCCATCGTAGCTCATAAATTACTATTCGACTAATGGTGTAATAAATTACCTACATACTAAATTTAGGTCAGCGTAATGTGGCAACTTTGGCTATTAGTACGCCTTCTAGTCTAAATATTAGGCGTCTAAACTGAAATAAGTATAAGTATAAGACGCTGACTGTATTTTTAAAAGTATCTTGTGTTTAGTAAAGGCAAAATTTTAACATTTGTAGCACATAGTTCACAAACATAGGGAACGTCTACAGTAATTAAATTATTCAGAGTTTTTTCTTATTCAATATATTTATTTTTATGAAAAAGTATTCCCAGCATTCTGTATTTTAAGGTACAAAATTTAATAGTGATAGTAAATAAAAACTCACATACTTTCATTCAGTGCTTTCCGTGGTCAAGTGTCTCAGTCACACATTTGTATAAATCTATTTATCTGACATATAAGATGTTTCATTGTAAGCAATATTGCATATCACAACCTCTAGAACATCAAAAGGATTTTCGAACCTAAGAGAATCACAAAGCGTTGATTTTCAAATCAAATTCATTGTAACCCATCCAATTCCAAGTCTTAACAGAAAATGGATATAGGTGACCGCAGCGGAAATCCCAACGAATACGGCGGGGTGTCAGCCCGGTTAACTAATTGGGTGTAGCGGGTCGGATGTGCGAACAAGGCAAATGAAGATTTATCATCCCTGCTACTTCTCCGGTCACCGGACCATTATATTTTTTGATTTCTAATATAATTCTAAAATTGTGGACCTACTGTGAGCACATCAGTATATTTCAACAATCATTTAAAGGTGGAAAGTTTTTTCCCGTAGTACGGAACCATACATCATATTTAAAAAATGCATTTGATAATAATGTGATTCCGGAGGACAATTTCATTAATTGTTAAAACTTTTATTGTGATCTTCATTCTTTATATTTCAATAAGCTCTAAATGGTAACATAACTTCCTTTCATGGTAATATAATCTAAATATATATAAAAATAAGTAATTAAACAAAACAAAACAACCAAAACATTATACCTGCAAAGGTACTTGGATCTGAACCAAATTCTAAATAAGATAGTTTCATACTGACGACGCTTGACCTGTTTTGCAAGAACTCACAACAGTTCGGCTGCCAATTGAAGTACTCAAAACTCATTATTTGATACGAGTAATTTGATATGTAAGGCTTCTCCGTACGATGTTGGAAAAGTTATTATTTCTTTAGAAAGTAATAATTTCATGACACCGTTTAGAAATAATGCAAAACTCATTCATTTAAATGTCATTTAAATACGACTTTATAAGTTGATAACTAATTTTATGCCATACAACTGTTCTCGTTTATCACAATCATTGTCTAAAAGTAAAACATAAAGTACTATTATGCAATACAGAGCTAAATGCATTGGACCAAATAATGCAGACAAATAGCAGCTGATTTTGTACCAATTAAACTGTGAACGAGATTATTAGCCAGAGCAATGATCAACAACATCACATGTGGAAGTAAATTTACTGGTATTTCAGCATGTACCATAATGTTACAGTAATTATATAATTATTTGAGTAGATCTTTTCCTTTTATTTAATTTCCTCTCTCCCGTTTTATTTGCTCTTGAGATGATGATGGGATAATGTAACCTTCGCGTGTTTCAGTAACTAGTACACTGAATGCAATAAAATCTAAACAAATCCTCTTTTGTTTAAAATAACTTAACTATCTTTAATTCTTAAAACTTTGAGAAACAGCTATTTAAACATTATCCCTAAGTTTCCGTATGATTTCAGAACAGAAGGTTCAAGAAAATGCTGCAGAAGAGCGTTTCACGGGCCACAAAATTTCCCGTGAAAACAGTCGTAAAACGTTTTTATTACGGAAACATTCGCCATTGATTCACGGTCCAAAATAATAAAAATACTGACTCAATCAACCCACCAAACTTTATAGGCTTTGTTGTAGTAAATTTATTGCATGGATAATAAAATAATGTTTCATTTACACCTCAGTCAAGTCTCGTCCGTGCTTAATACTTTATGAGCACGGGCACCGCTTTATGGACAGTTTTATACTTATTTATTGCTGTCATACAATGTGGGCGTTGTGTGATGGGTAATATTAATATAGAGATACACTTCAATTTGTCTGCGGGTAAAATCAGGATAAATTATATATTAATTGATGACATGTTCGTCATAAAGTAAGTTTTTGATTTTATTTCATAAACATAACTTACATTTACGTTTCAATTTTATATAAAACTCTATTAAAATTTTTTAAAACAGTAGTACAGGTTTTTAATAATATTGTGGATACCTTCCTCATATACACCTGTCAATGATTTGCATTTTCTCTTGTCTTTGTCCAGACGATAAAGAGAAACTTAATTGGGGGCTTTTCTGACTTAGGCTCAATGAAAAATTACGAGGTAGGCAGGAAAGCGCGGGAGAATGTATCACCCATTCTCAGCGTTGAAAAAAATACTTAAGCGAGTACGAAGACGTCGTAAGCTTTAATAAATGTGGACTGACGAACCTATTTGTAAATTTACGCATTGTAACAACTGTAATTTTTCCTAATTCTTTCCGCCTTAAGGTTGTGTCCTTAATTCGTCATATATTTTGTGCTATTTTTTTGAAATAATCCTCTATAAGAAAGAATTAGAATTTTATGTCTTTGATATATCAAAATAATCAACGAAGAACATATTACAATAAAAATAATGTAATCACTGCCAGTTGGTTTATGATACCTTTAACGTTTTGGTGATATGTAATACATTTACAAAAATATTAAAATCAGTACGACGTTCTTTAAATATTTCTTCCGACGTATCTTTAGTAGAAGTTACCAAAAACTAACAGTATTTTTTTTTAATTTCTTTTCATGTGTAACGCAAAATTCAAGTAATGAAACCTAGTGGTATAAATATAAAGATAAATTGACAGCTGTATTTTGGTTATATGTACTCGTAGTTGTTTGATATTACAAAATATCGGAAACACAAACATCAAAGGTAATTCATCAGTGCTACATGTTCTGTAACATTTAACTGTTCTATTTAATATTCATTTAATAAATTGAATGTTACGAAATTTTCAAATAAACATTACATCTACACATTTTTTTAATTTAATATGTGAAATTTTACGGGCTTATTCTTAATTTTACCAACTAAAAACATAATTCCAGTGGGTACATATCTGCAAGAATTATTTAGTCCCTTTAAGGTATTGTTAGTTTATAATAATTAATTGTGAGATAAAAACTGTATAAAATAAAAAGAGATGTACATTGAATCATAAAACAATGAAATCTATTTCAATATACAAACTAAATTTACTTTTGGAAAATGTATCTGAAATAAAAAACATACTCCTCCTCAAGTCGTTAATAGAATATGAGCTGAGAGCAATCCTAATTGTTTAACTGGCCTGAGCATTATAGGATTGCCGTTCATTATTGCGCTTTCGGGATTTCCCTTAAGACCTGCATAACTCATATAGGTGATTAAACTCACTACATTTAATATGTTTACGGTAAAGTAAACAAAAAAAATACTGAGATATAATATATATTTAAAAGTAAAGAAAAAATCAAATAAATGTATTTTCGAAAACAAAAATTTATTAGGCTTATGCTATAATTTTGCATGCAAAATATACAATGATATCGCCCTGTAGGGCTTAGCAGTTTATATGCAAAGCAATAGCAGAGTAAACGTTTAAAAAGAAACGAGCAATAAGCCGCCCAGTTAATCGAGCCGGGAGCACAAAAAGACCAAAGTTTATTTAAGTCAAGTTGATGGATACAAATTGGAAAAACCTCCTACATAAGGGCCCAGTTTTAATATGAGCAAAGAATTTTCATTGAGGTTTCACTGGTACTAAATTCAAGCAACACAGACGTTTTAATTAAATATTTCAGCGGTAAACAGTTATGTCCTATATGTACATACATATGTATATGTATGAGTGAAATAGAATTTGGCAATGGTTATTTCATGATTTGTGAGGAAATATACTCTTATTATTAAATAAAAAACCTTTATCAATACTTTGATTTAATAAAAAAGTTTTTTAATTATTTTGTTGATTACATGACACCAGAATAAAGTGAAGGATGTTTTACAGTATTATATTATAAAGAAATTAAACTTATTAGTTTAAGTAATTAATTATGATTCTTCGTTTTCAGTGTAAAGAAGAACAGGTGCTACGAAACGACCTCGACAGTTTTGATAGCACTATTAACTAAATTGCCTTCATTGATGATGCGTGAATACCTAATACGATTGTAATGAATCATATTATTGCTGTCATGTAATTATGTGGATCGGATTGCTTCCGCAAATGGATATCGATAGGTAAATTTACATTACAATATTATTATAACTAACTTGTTTTATGTAATAAAATACTATATATATACTAATTAATACCAAGCAAGTACTAAGTATGTCATCGCTAGTAAAAATTTCATTAACATTTTCATATTTTGTTTACAACAATGGTTAAATTAAAAAGCAAGTTTCTTAATTAAACTTGATTTATTTTCCTCTTTATTTATAATATTTACATTTAGTTTATCACAATTTTCACAGTCAATAAATATAATAACAAAAAAATTACAAATTTGCCTATTATTTTATTACATTATACACAACTCTCTGGACCTGGTATTTCCTCAGCTATGAGATGTTCTCGTCTGCTGAGCGTTGAGGTACTTATAGTTACTAGTTTGTTTGTCATTGTGGTCGAGGATGTCGACTGCAAAAAAATATAAAAACTGATTCACAGAATTTTTTTAAAGGTAGGCATACATAGATAACACATTGGTAGGCTGCCGTAGTCAGTACTAAATAAAAATATTTACGTGAATAGAATTCTATAGCCAAAACTTTTAAAGTTAACTGTACCATTTTGTCGGATATACTGGCTTGCTCTCGCGATTCGCTCTCACTTGTATGAAGAGTCCCATTTTTGACAGCGTCCACTCCACAATCTAAAGAGTTCCCATCTAAAAAATATATATTTTTATATTTACAGCTTTACTAGAGGCTGGCTTTTAATATTTAAAGAATATGTTAAACGTACTTATTTGTGTGCAAGTTCAATGGGATCTAAAGAGTCTTTACTTTTGACACTTATAATATGATATAAAATAAAATTACACAAGCAATTTGTTGCATGTATTTAATAAGCTTTATATTTGGTGATAATGACGTCTGTATTTATTATTATTAATATTTACGCTAGAATAAATATAACCTAGTTATCTTACCAGGTTGTGGGTTGAGAATATCTGGTTGCGCCTGTTTGGGTGGTTTTAACGTATAAGCTACCACATACTGTCTGCCATCAGAGTTAAGCTGAAGTTCCGGCGTTTGTTGCTTACATGTTGCTCGAGCCCTTTCATTATAAAATGTTAATTAATTATTTAAATGTTAATTGTATATACTGTTCTTGTAACTCACCTCTTCTTCCTGACAAACAAAATTGTAACTAAAGTACAGCTGGTACAAAATAGAACAGTCAAGATGATAGTCCAAAATGCTGTGCTAGACATACCCGCCATCAAGCTTTGGCTTCCATCTAAAATAGGAATACTTTTATGACTTATATTTGAGATGTAAATATATAATGTATATAGAGGTAAAGTATATTTAACGAGATAATTAGCGGACACGAAACTAATGAATACCTGTCCGTCGCTCCGGGTCTTGATAAGACAGGGCTTGAATTACAATTCGATCTGACGCTCCTTTGTCGTTTCTAGAATGAACGGTAAGGCGCAACGCTTTTCCTCCCGACCATAGTATCTCAACTGGTACTAAGAATACTACCACTCCATCTAATTTAAAATGAAATTAAATATTTTTTTTAAAAACATATTTACGGAAAAATTTATTTCTCGTCCTATTAAAATTTCATTCAACTACATATAGAAATAGAAATTGTTAGTCCAAAAATAATTCAACTATGTATCTGTATTACAATCATTATTTAAAATAGATTTCTATTTCAAGGGTTGTGGATTATTGATAACATTTAAGGTCATCAAAGTAATTTAAATGATATACAATGACATTTATAAATAGTTGGAAAAATTATTATTTTTATAATAACTTTCGGTATAAAACTTGATTTTCATAAAAGGCGAATTCATGATAAATCGAAGCAACACGGTTTCGTTCCGGCCAGCCAACGATGTAATTACTGCTGTATAATTAATGTTATTCAAGAAATAGCGAACATTTTAGAATTCAATTACATTATGAACAAAAGTAAAATTTTATTATGATGATTATTAATTGTACTCAGCCATAACTTTACCTTCAATCACTTTTTTTAAATTCATATTTGATATGACTGTATTTATAAACGACGTAAAACAAATTCCATTATTGGTATTTATCGATATCTTGTAATTTCAATACGTAACTGCTTACTGTAGGGGTAAATATTTGATAGCGTAAGTGACGTGTTTGCTACGGTGAGGCATAGTGTTTATATACGTAAGGGTAAATACTAGTAAATAGATGCTCTTCTGGTATTTGCATATCTATTCGGAGCTAATGTAGAAATTTTGCGTTTGTTATATAGCAAAGAGCGCTGGGAATATCCTTTAAGTTTACCGGATTTTGATTTAAATTTAACAAGAACAATAATAAAAGGACAAGAAACGAGATACGAGAAAAAATAAAACAAAAAAAACTGTCTACAAAAATAAATCTTAAACATTGTTAAATTGCTTCAGAAGGAAGGACTTACTCGTCTCATTAGCAGTAACATTCAACCTTAAAGCGCCAGACTGAGAGTCCAAAGCTTCCAAAACGACTAGTTGCGGTAGACCCCCGTCGTATCCCGCGACGCATTTGACAACAAGGTAGTCATTAGCTTCCTCAATAGAATCTTCGATCCAATTTGAAGTGTTTCCAGTTGAAACTGTACAGTTTCTTGGCGGAGAAGGTCTTGCTAAGGTTATGTAAAATTCATTATTTATACACACGTATAAATATATAGTTTATATATTATCGATATTCCTAATCTCAAATTTTGTTACAATAGCTTATCAATTCATAAATCAGGAACAGTTCTATTATGTAGTGATTAAGATTCTTACTAAAATACTTTTACAAATTCATGAAATTTAAATAAAACTTATTGTTTCATAACATTTTAAATACATAAAATTGTTACTTAGAATTTATTGATACAATTAGAATATAAGCATTGTTAAAAAGATTTACGAGTATATATACTGAAGCAACATATTGAAGCTCAATCTAAGCTCATTTACCTGCCGGTACAATCTGAAAGACACAAGGTTGTGCCTGTTGACCGACACTGTTTGTTCCTCGACACGTGAGCGCGCCGTAGTCTCGTTCGCTTGCGGGCGTGTACCTTAGTTCACTGGTGCTACCATTCAACGTACCTTCGTAAACCATGTGGAATAATTAAAACGGCTTTAACATTTATTAATACATTTGTCAGTAGCAAAAAAAATAAAGATAAGAAATTTAAATATTCTCTTTGGATCGGTTTAGCCATTCAAATTCGAGCAATTAATTATATGCCATTTTATAGAAGCTATTGAATATTCATTCTTGAAAGAGAAAAAATCTAAATAGGGTGAGATTATACATTTTATCATAATACTCGTGTAAATTATAAGTTTCAAGGTATTTCGGTGAATTAACATTAAGGGATAAACTAAATAAATTACCATATCTTGCCGGTGACACATTAAAACTCTCTCCACTATTGTTAAATTGCCAAAGGAATACAACATCAGCTGGGTCGGCATTCACAGAGCAACGGACTTGAAGAGACTCATCCAAAGCAGCTCCAACCACCCTAGGTGATGACATCCCACAGACAGGTGCATCTGAACATAAATTTTATATAAAATTTCAAAGAGTCGGAGTTCAATAGTAGACAGAGAGCACGAGTGTACTCGAGAAAAATAAGGCTCCCAAGAGTATAAAATTCTATTTAGACCAGTTAATTTTCTTCATAGAATATTATCCAGTTTGTGAAATAAATTTATTTTATAATATAGTGGTCTTCAATTTAAAAACAATGTTTATTTTAATTTTTATGGCAAAATTTAATAGTTTCCTAGTAATTATAATAGTGTTTATTATGATATTTATAAAACCTTCACAATGTTTTTGGAAAAACTCTATCAGTTTAGAATTCTATAAATTCTATATTCTTACTGAGATAGGATAGAGGTTACAGCAATATTTTCTTTTACTCATCGATATATGTATATTAAGGAATTTATTAAATCACAACTAGATAATACATATTAAGGTGCAAAACTGTGGTAACTAACAAGTTACTAAAACTGGGATCTGTCTGTCTCAGTCTAAAAGGAAACCTTACAATTACTTTGAACTGATATAATATGTTTCTAGAACACGATATGAAATGTTACTGAATTCAAAAGGAAATTTATTCTGGGTTAGCGAACTGGAACAAAGCTCTATGAATTAAAGTGGAGCCGCAAAACAACAGATTGCGAAGGTTGCAGAGTCGTAGTAATATTGGGCAATAATTTCGATGATTTACTACAGTACCGCCTTCAGAGCCAATTACTATGCGGCCGGTCCGGAAGGAACCGGTACGTCGATCCCAACCGCAATCATTTGAATACCTACCCGCAGACACATCAGTATTTATAGCCCTGTAATTCATATTCCGTAGTGACATTTTATTGTTACATGTCGTATCCGACGTTTGTTAGGATATGTAAATTGTGTGATTATACGGGATGCGGACTATGTTTTATGAGATAACGATTAACAAGGAAAATGTAAATTTTGAAATGTAAAATACAACTCCATTAACATACGTAACCGCCTTTTTGTTGAAAGTAAAATGTTATGGGCGTTAAAGTCGTGATATTAAAGTCATAAATACGAAAACGCCCAGTCTATATTTCTATCGTTGATTACACAGATTGAAACAAATGTTATTTGTATAGCAGTGTTCAGTTCCCGAAACGTCTATTGTAATTTTTATATAACACTGCCTGGTAATTAAACTTCCGAATTCATATGAAAAGGGAAAAAAATAAATGCCCCAATTATGGAGGTCATATAAAAATCAATCATGTTTTAATCCTAGGTTCTCGCACACATTTTAATTGATAGTCTTTCTCTCTTACTCGTTTTAATAGAATTTTAATTACATTTTAAAAGTACCAAACAAATTTTAATAACTTTCAATAACCATATGACCTTTATAGGTCAGGTCAAGTTTGATGTTAATATCACGATCAATTGTTAACGTATGAATGTACGTTCATAAAGATATTATACGTCTACTTGTAATTAATTACGGCAAACTACCCTAAGGACTGATATTAATTTAATTACGTCGGACTTATTTTTATCAGAGCTGTGTAATATGGTTATTTATTTCCTTGAGATATCTTATCTTTGCTTAAGGAACACAGAAAAGTGATATCATTATTGCTTTTATATGAATTCAACATCTATAATAGTATGGAAGGAGAACTTTTAAAGTATTATAATAAATAAATAAAGGCTTTTGATATGGATCTAGCAGTTTAAAAGTCAATATTTTTCTGTTTTGTCATAAAAGTATAGTTCTTGTTTAATTAAGTAACTCTTCGTGATATTCAGTATGATTGAATGAAATTGAAAAATATAAAAAGCAATTTAATATATTTATACATAAAATATATTGTACAATGTTATATATATATATATATATATATATATATATATATATATATATATATATATATATATATATATACATTGAGGTAACTATTGAATAACAATAGAACAAAAACATACAAGAAGTAAAACATGGTTGTTAAAAAGATTAAAGCACATCAACTAAACGTACGATACGAATTTATAAAATATATTTAAATAATATATACATAAAAATAATAAGCATATAAAAAAAAATAAAAAAACAGAAATCGTAAAAAGATATAATTATGAGAAAATCAAATTAAAATGTTTTATGGAGTACTTCAAACGACTAATAAATGTGTTAAGGAAAGCTTTACTGATATGAAGTGACTCACATTGCACCCTTAGTAACACGGTCTCGCTAGAAGTTTCGCCCCTCGCATTCGCAGCCCGGCATGAATATTGGCCGGCTTCCCGTCGCGTCACTCTTTGTAAAACCAGCGAACGGGTGCTCAGGATTATACCAGATGTCATGTTCTGTGTCACCTGTCTGTCCTATGTTGGAAATCATTATGAATTCATTATTAAAATTTTGTTTTCAATAACTGTGCGTTTACTTTTTTTATCATAGCATATAGTTGAACTGGTTACATTAAAATGATGACAAGAATATAATTCGTCTTAATAGCGTACGTACTATTAGGTGCATATAACAAAAATTATTATTTCTGGTAATTTAAAGATGTAAGGTTTGTGTTTGTAATATTACTTCAACTATTCTTAATGGCGCACGTATCTGATCAATACTCACATTGTGATACCATGTTATTCTATGCTCCCGCGGGTTTGCTTTTACATTACATTCAAAGTATACATCATCACCCTCCTTGATGTCATGAGGATTTAGTGTGCTGCCGAGTGTTAAAGACACCAAAGGGCTGTCTGCAGAATAAGAGAGAATTATTTGTACATAATAATTGTTATTCTATAAAAAATAATATAATTACCTAGACTGGGAAAACATATACACATTATGTGAAAAGATTTTATTGTGTGAAGAACAATACACAAGAAAACATAGTTATCAAAAAAATAATAATTTTATAAAAATATTTTTTAAAAATAAATCTATACAAATTATTATATACTAATGCATATATATGTATTTATTAACTAAGTTTATGAAAATTTACAAAATATTTTTTTTCTTCGAACATATGCTGATATCTGATTTAGAATCGTACTTAATTAATTATAGAAGTTGACTGCATAGCATCATACCATCAAATTCACAATGCTCTATTGGGCACAATTACATGGGTGATGGTAACCACGTTTGACGTTCCTCTCTTTGGTCATACCGATTGCAACTACTGACCCGTATAAATTGAATCTTACATTGCACTAGTTTCTAGTTGACTAGCAAATATTTTAAGTGACTTGAAATAGATTTGGTGACGTTAACCTATTTGAAAATTACATTTGGCTAAGAAGAGTTAACAGAAGAGTTAATAGTTCAAAATTTATCAGAACCTTTATGAAATGATAACGTTTATACAGTGTTATAGCATATTAGGTTATTAACACTTGATTACCGATATTTCAAAAATCATAGTGAAATCATACTATATATAGCTATAATGCTGTTCACTTTTATTTTCATTAGTTTTTAGGGATAATATATACATCCCCTATTTCATAAGGATTCATAAACAAAGCTTACTTGAACGTACTTAACGTATGAAAATATGGGCTGTGATATATATAATCAGAGGAACTATCGCGCTTGTAATATTAGCAAATATTTTATTTATTAATAAGCAGCTATAGTTAATATAGAAGTATATACGAAAATTTCATACTAACATACAACATTCAGTTTTAGTTGGTCGTCAATCGATTTGGTAGGAAGCGCAACATTTACTGCCACACATTTCACGATCAATCCGTGATCTTCCGGCGTAGGAGTGAATACTAGTGTACTGACTGTCCATGTCTCGTTTGAATGATCACTAACCTAAAATTGTAAATATTTATTAATAAAAATTGGATCTTAAATCAATTATAATTTTGTAAAACAAAAAAAAACTTTTGTTGACTAATTGCAAAGTTACGTCTTGTATAAAATATTAGTTTGTGAGTTTAATGAAAAACCACCAATTTTAAAATATCTGTTACCACAGAAAAGTGTGTATATAAGAAGATTTACGTGTATTATAATTACATTACCTTAATGCTTCATATATAATAGATATATGAAAGACAAATTAGTCCAACTTACAGCTGACATTTTGTCAAAAACGTGTTTAAGTATATGTAAAAGACCCATTTAACTTTACATAGGATACATTTTATATCTTACTTCATTCTTCTCGAAGATTCTGTTATCCTTGTACCATGTTACTTCTGCTGGTGGGCGACTGCCTTCCGACACACAACGTAACGATGTCGCTGCTCCGGCTAGCAATTTCTGTGGCCGATTTAAAAGTGATACCGACAGTGGTGCCACTAAAAGTCCCATAATAATATGTATTTTTGTATAATAATATTATGTTATTTTGTATAAAGTATTTTTTTGTACTAGTTACATTAAATGTTATTGATGATGCAGATTAGTAATTTATTTTAGTAACGGCGAATAATTTAGATTCTTTAAAAAGAAAAATGCCCATGCATGGTATTTTATTGCTCAACAAATTGTATTGTACAGGCGTTTTATTTGAAACTATTTTTAATTGTTCTCGTTGGAAGCAGCCACCGGCACAATGGACAAAATCCACTAAAGCAAAGTTCTATGTACCTTAAATTACTGTGTGAGATATAAAACATTTATTATGGTGACTATTTCATTAAATTCTAAGTTTGGATAGATTTCAATTACATTATGTTGAAATAACATTTATCCAATATTTCATTCATAAAAATTCACAATTATATTTTTTATATACATATTTTAATAACAATATAACTTTTTGTAAAGGATATCCAAAATTTTAATTGTCTGGTTTAAGTTACAAGTTTAAATATAATATTAAAGCGCACTTCGAAAAAATTAAGTAATCTTGACTTAAATATGTGTAACAACTTTCTCCAATGGAAATATGTATTTTTACGCACAAACTAAAAGACCAGATGCTTAAATTTTCAAACCTACTATAATTGACTTCCAAACAAGAAAACTTCACATAAGTATGTACTATTGTTTATTGTGTTATTTCCATACTTACAATTCATTTCCAGCCTAACCGCTTTCTCTTGTGGGGGCACGAGGTGTGTGTTGCCTGCTCTACATTTAAAAGTTTTATTTAGGTCTCCTCTCCTCACGTGCTGAAGCTCCAATCTATTTACAACCACGTGTGTGTCTGTCTTTTCGCCAATATACTGTGTTGCTGGTGTACCATCTATCAGCCACGATACTACTGGTTCTGGTTTTCCTATAAAAAAATTCTCAAATATACACATTGCAAACAAAGGACCATTCGTAAAGTTTTATACCAATTATCTTGCAAGTAGGGTCCTATCTATATACGTAAGAGTCGCAAGGTTGGCAATGTTCCAGGTAGGCAATGAGCGACTTTAGTCATAAGATGGGCTATTTAATAAAAGTATCTGGAAGTGTTCCCAGAAATGAAAGCATTTACACTACTGTGCTATGCAATAATAAAATCTTTTCTATTATAAAAGACATAGATTCAAATAAGTCATTAATCATATTGCTATTAATAATTCTACTAAAGTTTCAGCTGTATATAAAACGGTAGTCTGAACTTTTATATAATATTGAGAATTAAGTGACTATAAAAATTCACATTCCACATCAAATGACTATAACATTTACTAAATGTCTTATAGCCTCATCACAATTGTTAAGCACACAGTCAAAGATAATCCTTCCAGAGTACAGTTAACCTTTGATATATAACAGCTTTAATTCTTACATCTTTTATTATAAGGATGAGAATTGAAAAACACTGTTATCCTTTAAAAGTGGCCTACTGTACTGGCGAGCAGCCAGCCGTCCACACTGCGGACTTTTCAATGAACTCATCGAAATGGAATATCTCTTCCAATGTTTCCATTAAAGAGTCAAACGTTAAAAAACTGGATGTGTGTTAATTTCCACTATCATACTAGGTGGCACCAGAGACATTATCGTTCTTCTTTTTTCCTTAGATTTTGATAAAAATAAATATGAATACTCATGATGGCTATAATATGTGGAATTGGGTAATCTATCTTGGGAACGATGTGTCACTATATATTAGTTTTATAACAACAGTAGTTAGATTATCAGGACGATCAATAACTGAGTTGTTAAAGTTGTAACATATTAAGTCGTATTGTGCACATAAACAATATTTCAAATGTCAAAAAGGTAATAGAAAATTTGACGAATGATTACCGCACTATAGCCGCATGCACTATTGTTGATTGCATTGTATTCGATGAAACATGAATATATTAAAAATTCATAACAACAAAGCATCCAATTTTACGAGTATATTAAAATTACTTTGATGGCTCATTAAAAGCAAAAATACGTCGTATTGAATTTTCAAAGCGCTTACAACAGGGGTCTATATAAATATTACAGGCTGAGGGGATCACATATACGTATTATATTTGTAAGATACAAAAATATATTATTTATTAATGTCTTCACTACATTACCTCCACGAACTTCACAAATAAGTACGAGAGCTGATCCTTCTTCTATGGGCCCAAATACACCAGAAACGTCAGCACCAGATTTATCATACAACAACATTTGATGTGGCGGTACTAAAAACATTTTTAAACTGTTACATAATCCATTTAAGGGTTAATTAAAAGATTTATCTAATATTACTTGAAATATATCTCTGAACGTAAGTTGTTTTACATATATACGAGATGTTAATGAAATATCAACTACCCAAATTATATAACGAAGATCTTTGAGAAATGTATTCGAAATGTTAATGCCACATAAAATAGCTTATTATACACAATATTTATCAAAAATTATGTTCCTTAAAGGTAAGAGTCAAAGAAAATATCATTTCTAATCGGCTTATGAGATATGAATGACTCGGTATATGTACTTTGACCAAATTTCTATTGGAGTAAATGATATCATAATATAATATGCGTATTTAGAATACTTGCTAAGGACGAAATATAATTTAATTAGGGTGCGAGACGATCCATTGAACGATAAAAGCTCTAACAGAATTATTTAAATTCAGTTATGAAATGTCAAATTTGTCAATAGAAGATATTTGTATGGAAGAAATGAGATTACGTTCAAATTCAAAACAAGTACCTCAGAGAAGGTAGTAAGATAATTAATTTAATAAAATTTAAATCAATAATAACTACCAAATAATAATATAATATTACGGTAGGATTTTGGGTGAAAATTTTCATACTACTAGGCCAAAATTTCATTTACATATTTTGCTTAGCCTCCACAGACTGTTCTCAAGATTTTTATTACTTCAATAATTAATTAATAATATATATATATATTGTTTACGATACTTTTAAATGTAGTTATGTAGTTAAAAATAGTAACAGTTGACAAAAACTTATTTATAAGATTTCAGTGGATTTATTTACAAAGATTTTATTAATTTATTAGTATTTTTTGTTCTTCATTTGTAAAAAGAAAGTTATGAATATTAATATTCACGGTATATATATCCTTGTCTGATTTATTATGTTGGTAACACCTGATTACACGTTCATTGTAAACGCAGTTTCTTTGCCTACAAAAGATTGCAAGCAAATTGCTTCTTTGTAGCACAAGCTTAATGGATTTGAATGGAATTGCACATATGGTATGCTAACTTTAAATGCTTTGTTCTTTTGAACGAAATTCACCTCCCTTACCTCTTTGTTTCTGTTTAATAGGGTAATTTGTTGAAAAAAAGAATGTCACTTTGCTAAGAAATGGCTTCCCAAGTGTCAACATTTTCTAAGAAATGTGTGCCCATTTCATGTGACTGTTATGACATTTACGCTTCATAGAAACAATTTACTTATTTAATAGTACATTTTATAATAGGGATTCAACAGTAAATTTTATAATCATATTGCATGATTTTACCATTTTATTATATTGATTTAAATTCAATTTTAAGTGACATAACATTTTTACATCATAATATATCTATAACTTTTATTACTAAAATTATGAAACCAATGATTGTTCTTTGATGGATTACATATTCAGTCAGTGGTGGCCTGGTGATTGCCGAGGGCGCGGGTTCTAACCTGTCAAGTACCAATGTGATTTTTCAGAGTCATATGTACTTTCTGAGAGTAGACACCACTGATATACGGTGAAGGAAAAAATCGTGAGAAAACCTGGACTTTATAGTTTCACAATTATAAGTTTGAAATCACGAACCCGTCTTGAGCAAGCGTGATGATTAATGCTGAAACCTTTGAGTGAGAAAGAGGCCTTTGCTCAGCAGTGGGCGCTGATAGGCTGATGACGACAGATTACATATTCAGATATTATCAATGGTGCGATAAATAATAAAAATAATTAAATGATACGAGTTATAGCAACCATACCAACTTCGAGTCACAAACTACAGAAGAGTTATATTAAAAAGTTAATAAAATTTGTTATTTTATGAAGTGAGATATAATATATTTCTTATAACCCTTAGTAAATAAAGTATTTTGTTTAAATAATGGCTATATTTGGATAAGAAAATTTATATTTAAATGATATTAAATAAACTATTTTATTCTAAGAAGTCTTTAAAACGTATCCTGTACATTACTAAAAATACAAATACAGCTATTTATAGGAACAAACGATAAATTTATAGATAGTAAACAAGTAAAAAGATAAAAAGTGTTTATCTATTTAAATCTAATTTCCTCTTATATTCAATCTGTCTTCACCAGATTTTATCTATGTCATCGTTGGCGGTTTTTATCAACGTGGAGCTTAGAACCCGGGACGACAGACCATAATTAAAATGTCCGCGAAACGTCATTACCCGCCTGCCATGCCCCCATTCATCCATAATGACTAAATTGATTTCGTCTCGATTTTCATATTCCAGAATAATATTTTGTCTTTTTTTAACAGTATTTTTAGCCCCTTACTATAAATATTATTATAATCAATTTTATCACAAAAAATTGATAAATAGTTTAATGAATTGTTAATTTAATATGTATCACTTTGATTTATAAGCCAACAAATAGAAAAAACAAAAGCCATTTCAGAACTTTCAAGATACTCACCTATGACGATGAGTCTTATTTGAAAATTCCTAGTGGGAGAATTTTTAAAGTCAACTCTACACCGGTAAGTGCCCTCATCATCCAATTGAACGGAACTCAACGTTAGAGATGCAGGTCGTGCTACTGTCACAAAATATGCTCGAGGTCCAAAAGCACCAGGATCTGACCATTGAAGGGCTTTATTGAATGATCTGCCCCTCACATCAAAGCTGAAAAAAAAAATTCAAGCATGTGCCAATTACATTCTACCATGTAACTAGCTCTGCTTTTTACAGTTCGATCACTAATTATGTTGGTTAAACATATAAAATGCATATGAATTTGCAATTTTCTTTAATGACAAGACGAATAATAATTTATGATGGCAAGAAAGGAAATGAAATGATTTGGACAAGTTTCAACAGTTGATTTGAAGAAAATTTTAAGTTAGGAAAAAAATCTATAATTATATTTGTGTTACCTTAAATCTTTTTAATGAATCAAAATGAAAAGTAAATATATCACAATTTTTAATTTTTTTTTGGTAATACCCAAACAAAACAATTTTATGTAAATAAAAGAGGTTGTAAACACAGTCACGTAGCTATACCAGTTTAATAAAAGTACGTAAATTGGCACATAGTCCGTTCTTAAATTTATTTTGTCGGCAAAATTTTTGAATAATATAAGAAAAGGCGACAGTGAAGTTTTTCAATTTCCGGACAAGGTACCTTCGCATTATCCGACATTCATTCTAATTTATATAGCAAGAAGCTCTGAGATGATTTGATTATATACCCTGCTGTTCGCAGGTAAATTTAACAATTTAAGTAGGCTTTTTATGAAGGCATTATCCCCGCAAAACGTTCGTTCCGCCAGCCGTTATTGTCGCGTAGATGCTTATAATTGCAATTTCGTGTAATCGGTCCCTCGGTAAACAGCTACTGTGATTATTTCAATTTTATTTAAATATGGCGCTTAAAATGTCTTGCGGCTCGTCCTTTTATAACGTTATTTATAAGAAAATATAATTTCAGGTGAATAATATTTTTAAGTAATTGTATTTATTTCTAATACAGATATTTAAGTAAATGCAAAATATAATAATTATTTATTCACGAGACAAACGTAGATATGAGCAAACTTTTATATTAGGAAATTGAGACACCGGATTGTACTTACAATAATTTAAACATAAGCAATAAACAATAGTTTTTGTTATTTTATGTACATTAAAATTAATATTATATGGTTTTTTAGAACAACATGCCGCTGTATCTCATCAAAAGGTAAGTCATGGACTAGGCCTTCTTTGAAAATTTCTCGGCAAGTTATGAATAAATAATATAAATGATTTATCGTCTGCTTAACTTGTATCTTCATTAATTAATTATCAACCTGCTTTCCGCAATTTCTTTTTCCTTATATAAAAAAATAACCATTAAGATTTTTTTTAGATTTCTATTTTGAATCAATGTTGATTATTGAATATTTTTTCATAGACTTATTAATTATTTTCAATGAGGGTGCCCTTTTAAAAACATCGGAAGCTATTAGTTTGTTTCTATAGATTCTTGAGAGGCGGTTCTTTGATCGTAAACATTTTGAGCCTCCAACAAAAGATAAGGATTTTTTTTACACAAAGGCTAATGGAACTTCTAAGTGCTTTCATGGGCTAATTTGATGTTTACGATCGAATGACGCTGCCCTGTCGGAACTTGATGACAATAAAAACCCAGCAAAGCAAGTGTGATCGCTAACGAGCTCGCGTGAAACGTCTTAAGTGCGTTTCGTTGTAAGTGTATTTTCTGGAAGCTAATTGGATCGACTAGACTCGGCTTCTGTTCATCCGTTTAAGGTGACGCCAACGGTTCATTAACATCGCCGTAACTGGCTTAGTTATTTACTGAGAATATCTTCGAGCAATAAATTAGTCGTGAATTTGCGTTGCTCTACTAACTCTTAACTACTTATAAGCATGTCGTAAATATGTGTGTAGAAGTAATGAGTTGTAATGCGTTTTACAGTTTTATATAAAAATTGAGAATAATTGCAAGTACTATGGATAAATTACAAAATGATTGCACAATTTTAAGTTATTTATGAGAAACATACCTATAAATTGGTTTACCACCGCTTTTTCTAAACCAAAGTACCATGTAAACCCTGTCCTCGTTGGTATCTGGCGTGAGGTCACACGGCAGAGATGCCGTGCGACCCAGTACTGCATCCACCTCAACTGTTGACACTGAAGGTAAAACAAAAGGCTTTTTTAGGATTATTATACACAGTAACTATCTTATAACAACTGTCTAGTCCCATTTCTGCATACATTAATAGAAATAAAATTTTAAAAAAGGTAAATTTATGTAAAAGAAATTATTAGAGTTTAATATATAAACAACTTTAATATAAATGCGGAAATTAGAAGCAACTTCTCGTCCACAGATAAAATATAACCATAAGTAACGGGTGTTTTTTCTAGAGGTATACAACTTTGAAATAAAATAAAACAAAAATCATTTTTTTTATTGATATGAAATATAATATTTTGGAAAGATAATATTCTGTCATTATAATTTAAATAAGATTTCAGACATATGACCTCCACGACTGGCTCGGACGTAGTTTAATCTAGAGGTCCAATTTTCAACGACTCTTTCCAACATTCGTGGCTGTATATCGGCAATAACGCGAGGAGTGTTATCCTCCAAGTGATCAACGGCTTCGGGCTTATCAGCATAGACTAACGATTTTACTTATCCCCACAGAAAATAATCAAGCGGCGTTAAATCGCATGATCTTGGGGACCAATTCACGGGTCCGAATCGTGAAATTATGCGGTTACCAAATGTTTCTCTAAAAAATTAAATGTGGCACGAGCTGTATGACATGTTGCACCGTCTGTTGAAACCAGAACTCCTGAACATTATGGTTGTTTAATTGATTAACGAAATAGTCACTAATCATCGCTCTGTAGTGGTCACCATTGACTGTAACGTTCTGGCCAGCACCGTTTCTAAAGAAGTACGGACCAATTATTCTTATCTTCTGTACGCACTGTACGACATCTCTGTGGATGCGTATTATCATTTAGAGTAAATGTACTGCGAAAACGTTCCAATGTTAATCGAATTAATTGTTTTGATGGACGATTATTTGGACCGAAAAATGGAAGTAGTGCGCGATACGTTTTTCGAACAGAGCCATGATTTTCAAAATAAATATGCACAATTTGGAGGCGTTGTGCAGGTGTAAGTCTATTCATGATGAATTGCCAAACCAAATTAAACACAAATCACTTGACAGCTGTCAAAATAACTGCCAGTTAAAAAAGTATTGGCAACTTAAAGTTGTATATCTCTAAAAAAAACACCCTTTATAAGACAGCGACGAAATAAAAAAGTCATCCCTAGAGTAATACATTTATTCATTACGTAAGTAATTTAATGTAAACGGCGCGGCGGTAGGTCAGGAGCTACCAACCACATGCACTATATAATTTTTGTTATATTTTCATTATTGGATAAATTTTGTAGGGTTCATTATTTTAGAGAATAAAAAATAAGTTATATGAATATTTATAAAATTAGGATAAATTTTCTATAGAGCAAAAACAAATATGAATGAATTTTCATAAATGCCACAATATGTTATGACATACGTAATCTAGCCAAAATTATAATATCAAAATTACATCAATTTTTATTCCAAATTTTTGGCACTTATAAAAACAAAAAATGAGTCTCTCTGTAATACGCTCATTTCATTCTTAACATTTATCTCGGCTTAGTTAATTGGACTCCTCTGTTTGTTCCCCATACATAATTTATTAGTGTCTTGCTAAAATTCTTAAAGCAGGATGAATATTTTGCAACTTCAGCCTCCAATGGTGTCCTTTTGTATAATAGGCAAAAATATTAAAGAACTTTCAAACGAATTAAGTCTTTGTAAAGATAAACTTGACTTTGTTCATCAAACATGATAATTTTACTGAAACAAAATTAAAATATCATAAATGACCAGTTTGTTTGCATACTAAGAATATATTTAAGAGTACTAACATACATATAATTAAATAAGCGTCTTATTAAAAGTAGATAAGTTAACACGTCAAATTTAGATCTTTGTAGATATTAAGTATTTTGCAATAATTGTTAAAATGAAAAAGAAATTTTGAAAACTTTAGTAACCATGACTTCGTGTGACTATATTGAGAGGAATTTAATGATTGAATAAACGTAGATTCATCTGAACAAATTAAATGAAACTGAATCTGAAACTGCACAGCATTTCTACCAACTTCTTCGATTCAATTATAAAATAATAGCATACATATATAAAAAGGTTTGCTACCAAGTTAAATTGTGATGTGTAAACTTTGTTCTGCCATAGATGAATAGTAAAATGTTGATCCTTAAGTATTTGTGCGTAAAAATATGAGTAATAATTAGCCAAGCCAAAATACTTAGAAGCAGGCAATCTTTTATCATATTTTATAATATTTTATTGATAGGAGCCATTTCTGGTGTATATTTCTTTACCTCGGACTGGAACTAAATGGGGGCTACTATAATGCAAGGTTATCATCCTCTGCTAATTACAAACGTAGACTTCTGTTATTCAAAAATCACAGTCAGATTCAGTAAGTGATATACAATTTTTGGGTAAAGACTTGAAATTTAAGTCCAAAGAGAGGCGAGCAGTCTGACAGAGGTTTGTCTCGGTGTTACATGTTTTTATTGTACATGTATGGAAAAAATTTTCACTAGATTATGAAGTTTTAGGGTTACAGTTAAGCTTAATAAAGTCCTAAAAATTTGACAATTTGATTTTAAAATTTGTTAATTTTATCCTTAAAACATTATTATGTATTAGTAGATATTATAGAAATTTATAACGTGACACAATAAAAACTGAATTCAGATATATTAGAGTCGGTACTCATCAATCACGTCACATTCAACTTGTTAAAATGTAACAACTTTCAAATTGAGGAAAGTGACATGAAATTGACAGGAAAATCTTCAATACACTTGAAAGCTTTGTTCTCGAACATGTCTGCTTACAAATCGTGTTACTTCGTTATTATATAATAAATCAGGAGAAATGTCATGATATAAGATGTCTCAATGTCAATTATCTCGTCTTTTTAAAAAGGATTATGAATTAATAAATGATTATTGTTTAAACTTTCATATTACACAGCTCCTACTGAAGTAGTAATCTTGAATTTTTTTTAATATTTCTAGACGTACATAGTATAAATATGAATAGCATTAAAGTTACTTTATATTTCCATAACTGCTATTACCTTATACAAATATCTAACAACTATAAAAAGTTCAACAATGTACTATACTAGTGCACCTTGAAAACATCTGTATAATAACAGAAATGAAGGTGTATGAATTATTCATAACAAGCGATCAATATAATCCCACCCTTGCAGTTTGAACTTTGAGTATTAATAGACGTTCTATACAATTTGACTAAATGATAGTTTCTTTGAAATATTGCTTTACAACGTTTATGTTAAAATTCTTTACTTACAGCTTGTTTAAACACAGTTCTTAAGCACCTACCGAGAAATGGCACTTAATGATAAAAAGAAAGGAAAAGGTGTGAGACATAGCTGAACCGAGGAAAAGAGGTTGACATTCTGGATTAGCAAGAATAAAATATTACTTATCTCGAAAAAAGAAACATTCTAGTAAAAAATGAAAAATATATTTGACAATTTGAAAAAGTCTAATAAAAGTGCTTCTCTTTTCAATTAAATAAATTATTGTTTAAACTTATAAAGTAATTAGACGAGATCGTATTACTCTAAACTCTATACTTAAGTCAATTTTATTTTGGATAAAATATTATATTAGTCTTAATAAAATGTTAACCTAAATATTTGAAAGATATGGAATAATAGCAAATAGTAAAAAAGTAATACTAAAACTATATTTAATTTTAATAAACTGTTTTTTTATTATAATATGTAATCTTCAAAATTGTTATTCAAAATGTTTTAAACATTTGACATACATTTTCATAACAACTTCTATTGATGTAAATAAAGCAAAGTTAGTAAATAGTAACCTAATAGACATCAAATATACAAAGGTGCTTATTATGAAATATGTTACTCGCATTATTGTGGCGAGTTGCGGCATCGTATCGGCCAGCTTGGAACTACTTTGATCACGCGATCGTCGATCGCTTAAAGGCCTAAAAGTGGTAAGAATAAAAAGACAAAAATATTTTTACTTCCTCATAAATGTAATATTATTAATTCTTTAATATATCATACTTTTCATTCTTTTTCCTTTTGCTTTTATTTCTTTTTATTATAAATATTCATACATTTCAAGGTTGAAATAAACGTTCTTCGATAAAAAGGCTTCAGAGTCAAGAAAAGAAAAGGAATATTATTGTAAGTGAGCACTCACAAAAGATTTCTTTAAGAAGTAACAAAAAAATAAATATTTATGTACATTTATGTATACATGCACATATATTAATCCCAGTTATATATAATAAAATTCATATTTATTACATACATACACACCTATCTGATGAATAATTTAAACATTTATGAAATTACGGATTACTAACTAGAGCTTTGAAGATTTTAAGATTATAAGCTTTTGATAAGGTTGTTCCAAGGTTTGCTTTATGTAATATGAAAGAATTAGAGTAGAACACACTTTTATTAGAGGAAATAATAAATATGATATTCTTATTGAAAGATGGGTTTAAATAAAAATTATTTTATTATAATACTGACAAAAAAATAATAATTTTTAGAACTAAGGTGTTAAAGACAATTACAACATAATACATACATACAAACTTGAATGTTTATATATTTTTTTGTTATCATAAATAGGAGGGTAATATTTTTAGAGGGCATATATGTATTTTTCTTTGGAATATTTGACGTGACAAGTATTGAAATCAAAATAAAGCAGATATATATGTTTTTATATTCATACATTTCCTATTCCAAGCTCCAATTGAACATACTATGTGTTATATACAATAAATCTCATAAAAATTTAAGTATGAATTTCTAACAAATATTTACGCAGTTGGGATTTTTATTTTGTTTTCACTCCACGGCAACTCTTCCTGTTAGTGATTGGTCATTAAAGCCTAAAAATGCAATACTTGTGCTTAAAAACTATAAAGATATTGATTATATCCAATAAAAATAGAGTAGTCTATCAATCTATAAGAACAATTAAATCTAAA